TACCTTCCATTAAATATTATTCTTCGCAACCCTGCATGTTTCACAGACATCCTGTAACATATTCCCCCCTTCACTGCTCAAATTTGTAGGGTTGAGCACTTTGGGCAAAGAGACTGTGAACTCTGGAGAGAGCATCAGCGTTATCTTGTTAGCTTCCTGGTCTATGCTCCACAACCTTAAAATTTTATAGTGCTAGGAACCACCGGGTAACTCTTGCATTCCTTTCTTTATTCTGGGCCATTCACTTGAGAGGGGCATGGTCTGCTATGAGCATGAAGTGCCACCAGTGGTCAGATTTCTACTACGGAAGGCTACCGGGTTATCCTTCCCATTTACAACTTGGAACAATACTGCTCCTAAGCCCACCTATGATTTGACAGTTTGCACCACAAATTCCTGCACAAGGTTGGGAGTAATCCGTACTGGGCTATTACTAGTTCATGAAAAGCTCCCTTTGCCTCTGGGGACCATGTGATCACTGTGGACTCGCCCCCTTTTGTAAGGTCTGTGAGTTGAGCAAAATAGGGGACATACCTTTTGTAATACCTGATTAAATCCAAGAAAGCTATTAAGTTTCTTATGTGGTCTGGGCCAACAATAATTTTCATGAATTGCGGCTTCACTAACCCTCTACCAATTATATACCCCAAATACCAGACTTTCTGTAACCTAATTGCACCATTTTTGGGATTGACTGTTAGTCCAGCATCCTGGAGGGCATAAACAACAACCTGTACATTGGGCACATGGGTTTTCCAATCTGCATTAAAAATGGCCGCATCATTTCCAGGTGAATTATTTTGGCTTAAGAGTATGATCCATCATCCACTGGAAGGTTTCCAAGCCCCATGTATAGGGATGTTCAGATCACTTCTACTGTCGTGGTAAACAACCTGCTTCCCTATTTATAATGGTCTGGCCCTCTAGCAACTTCAGCGCAAAATTATAGCTAATTTTCCTACAAACGTCAGGTGGTCATAATAATCTGGCCACATATATATATATATACATATATATATATATTGAGGATGCACCGATACCATTACCAGTATTGGTGCCAAAACCAAGTATTTGGGCTAGTACTCGGCCAAATGCTCCGATACAGACTCCTGATACCGGAACTTCCGGTCAGAGGGAGATTTCCCTCTGACCGGCAGTGCCGCAAGGGAGGATGGAGCTGGCTTCCCGGCCAATCTGGAAGATGGGCAGCAAGTTATGTCCTGCCTCCCTGATTGGCTAGGAAGTCAGATTCACTTATTGCTAGGCAGCCTAGCTTCCTGACCAATCAGGAATCGGGGCAGCACGTCATTACCCACCTCCCAGCTTCCTGATTGGTCAGAAAGCCAGGCTGCCTAGCAACAAATGAAGTAGGCTTCCTAGCCAATCTGGAAGCGGTAAGGCACGTTACTGTGCTTCACTGTGGGTATGGTGTTATTTTGGTGATGCATAGTGTTGTTTTTGCACCAAATATAAGTCTTGGAATTATGACAAAAAAGTTCAATTGTGGTCTCATCAGACCATAACACATTTTTTCACATGCTTTGGTCTGGCTTGATGTAGGTTTTTTGCACAATGTAGCCAGGCTTGGATGTTTTTCTTAGTAAGAAAAGGCTTGCATTTGCCACCCTACCCCACACAACTTGTGCATCATCAATACAACATCATACCCACAGTGAAGCATGGTGGGGGCAGCATTATGCTTCAGGGCTGTTTTTCTTCAGCTGCAACTGGGGCTTTAGTCAAGGCGAAGGGACTTATGAATAGTTCCAAATATCAGTCAATTTTGGCGCAAAACCTTCAAGCCTCTTGTAAAAAGGTGAAGATGAATTTACACTTTCAGCATGACAACGACCCAAAACACAGCTCCAAATCAACAAAAGAATAGCTTCACCAGAAGAAAGGGCCCATTCACACCAGACGCTGCGCTAATCAAACAATGGTGAAACAACAGCCAGCGCAGCTCCTGGGGAGAATCACCCCAAAGGTGAAAGTTTTGGAATGGTGCAGACCTGAATCTAACTGAAGATCTCTGGGGTGACCTGGAGAGGGCTGGGCACAGAAGATGCCCTTGTAATCTGTTAGATTTGGAGCACTTGTGCAAGAAAGAGCGAGGACCGCCGTCCCCTCTCTCTAGGACTATGGGCCAGCACCTCCTCTCCCTCTCTCTAGGACTACGGGTCAGCACCGCTGCTCCCTCTCTATAGGAGGACTACAGAAGCCAAGCACCACCGCTCCCTCTCTCTAGGAGGACTACGGGCCAGCACAGCCGATCCCTCTCATAAGGACTACGGGCCAGAACCGCCGATCCCTCTCATAAGGACTACGGGCCAGCACCGCTGATCCCTCTCATAAGGACTACGGGCCAGCACCGCCGATCCCTCTCTATAGGACTACAGGAGCCAAGCACCACTGCTCCCTCTCTCTAGGAGGACTACAGGCCAGCACCGCCGCTCCCTCTCTATAGGAGGAATAGGGGCCAGCACCGCCGATCCTCTGTATAGGAGGACTAGGGGCCAGCACCACCGCTCCTTCTCTAGAGGACTAGGGGCCAGCACTGCCGATCCCTCTGTATAGGAGGACTAGGGGCCAGCACCACCGCTCCTTCTCTAGAGGAGGACTAGGGGCCAGCACTGCCGCTCCCTCGCTCTATCGGAGGATTACGGCCTATTACGGGTTATTAGTAATAGATTCAGTTTTCCAGCGTCCTCCGAGCCCGGCACACACATGCAGCCATCGTAGCCTGC